ATCAGGTCGAGGTAAGCCAGTTAACCAACGAGTCATACATGGGGACTGGACTCCGCACAGCAAAATGCACATGCGCAGTGGCCAGGGTATATTTTCACTTATAATTCATGGCTCATCTCACGCAGTCGTTTCAGGAAAATTTTAAAATTACACACTGGTATGTAGGTATAAAGCCGTTGGTATCTCTTATAGGCCGCCTTGTATCCTGTAGTGCCAATAATCACTGACACACACACACAGACACAGCCATTTCAGGCACATGCGGGCCAAGGGTTAAACTTTCTCTAACAGCTACTTTTGTTGTGGTGTGCAATTGCCTATTCACAGTGCGTAATCTAAATGAATATGCAGTGCAACAGGGTGCAAAGTTCAAATCAGTGTAGGCCACGATAAGGACGGCCGACGACGGTAACTCAACAGAAAATGAGGCACACGCTGGCCTCGCACAACTGAGGAACACACTGTCCTCGCTGCCCCGCCACCTGCCGGCGACGGTAACTGAAAAGAAAATGAGGCACACGCTGGCCTCGCACAACTGAGGAACACACTGTCCTCGCTGCCCCGCCACCTGCCGGCGACGGTAACTGAAAAGAAAATGAGGCACACGCTGGCCTCGCACAACTGAGGAACACACTGTCCTCGCTGCCCCGCCACCTGCCGGCGACGGTAACTGAAAAGAAAATGAGGCACACGCTGGCCTCGCACAACTGTGGAACACACTGTCCTCGCTGCCCCGCCACCTGCCGGCGACGGTAACTGAAAAGAAAATGAGGCACACGCTGGCCTCGCACAACTGAGGAACGCGCTGTCCTCGCTGCCCCGCCACCTGCCGGCGACGGTAACTCAGCACTGGGAACTGCCTGCGTGCTGCTGTTGCTTCCCAGTTCGCACGTGGTTGCAGTATGCACATGCGCAGTTGCGAGTCGCTGAGGAGGCGCCACCGTGGCACACGCTGTTCAGACAACTACGTCTGCTCCCACTCGTCAATAGATTTTACTGAAATCACTGAGTACAAGAGTTTATATCTATCACAATAATAATATGTATATACAACCAAACCGTTTTATTTCGTACGCTCAAAATTGTTAACTTATCACAAGTACAAAGACACAACCTAAGTAGAACAGAAGGGTTTTTGTGTTGTTGTGT